GATGTGCCTGCATTGCCTTTAGCTGAAGGCAGTTTGAGGACATAATCCTTTATGGCTGCCAGTGGCTTCATATTTTGTGACTCTTCTGCTGTCTAGCCATATTACTTGCAGAGAACATTATAGGGTAGATATTGAACCCCATATCTCCTGCCAGGCGTTTGCACAACAGGCAAAACTCATAGCATGAATTTATGACTCTTAATATATAAAAGCTGTTCAAGGATTCTAGTTCCCTACAAGAACATGTGAAAGCTACGTTTTTAGTAAAGTCTCTGGGCCAGTATAAAAGATGAAAGGCCTCAGTCACATTTGCTAACTTCCATGATAAACAATGTATTGTCAAAGCAGAAGAATTAGATATGAATTAAAATAATACTGGCATGGGATACTCAGCACTTACCGTAAGATATTAATATGTAGTGAATACAAATAAAAGTATTTGTTTTGAATAATTTTAATTTCATGTTGGTTGACTGAAATGACAGAAGGTATTAAGTAACTGCTTTCACTAAGTCAGTAGAAAAAAATGATTCCTCTGTGTGTGTGTTTGTGTGTGTGTGTAAGAGAGAAGAGAGAGAGAGAGAGAGAGAGAGAGAGAGAGACAGAGAGAGAGAGACAGAGAGAGAGGGAGAGGGAGAGAGAGAGAGATGTATATTTTCTTGCATAACTTTAAAAGAATCGTGACATTTTGCTATACCCATAGATCAGTGCCATGCTCTGCCAGTAGCAGAGAAGCTTCCTCCTGAAGCTGATGGGAACAAATACAGAGAACTATCAGCCCTAAAAGGGCTGTCTTCATCAGTTCTACCCTTCAGGGTTCAGGGAACCCATAGAAGAAGAGGCAGATGAATGTAAGAGCTAGAGGGGATGAAGGACACCAAAGAATACAAGTCCCCTAAATCAACAGGATCAACACAGATACAAGCTCACAGAGACTGAGCCAGCAAGGAATGCATGGGTATTCACAAGACAGGATCCTAGAGCTCAAAGGAAAGTGGCCACATGCCCCATTCTTAACACAACACAGAGCAGAGTAGACTGCATGCCCAGCAGTAGATAGCCAACAGAAAATGAGTTCAATGCCATCTTTGGTGGTTCCTTGTCTCATAATTTCATGTCAGGGTTTTTCATTTTTAAAATTTTTATTTTTAACATTGATTGTATTTATATTTTCTCTCATTTTACCCTAAATTTCCTCTGTGTATGTATTATGACTTATAGTTTATTGTTTTATAGGATTCCAGAGTGTGTGAACAAGTGAGTCTATTTCGTGTTCCTTTCTTAGACTCCTCTGGAGTTTTTATGTTGTTTTGTTTTTTCCTATTCTGATGTGTTGGTTTTTGTTTTATCATATATATAATTTTATTATGACATGCATTGTATAATACCATATATAATTTTATATAATATATAGTTTTATTGTTATATTATAGAATATTACATGTATATAATTTTATTAGCCATTATGTGCCTGTTTGCTTCTAATAAGAGACAGAAAGCAGTTGGATCTGGATTGTAGGGTAGGTGGGGAGGAACGGGGAGCAGTAGGGGGAGTAGAAACAGTAACCAAGAACTTTATATGAGAAAAACTCTATTTGTGATATAAGCAAAATATAAAATCCTTTGTTTCATCACAAAAATAATTATTAACATATACAGTATAAAATAGTTATGTAACTACTTGAGATGTATGTGCATCGATTTGGACAGTAGTGGCAAAATCATGAAATATTATTCCTACTTTTTTCTTTAAACTACTCATTTAAAAACCATATCCCTGGAGTAGCTTATAAAAGTAGATCACAATAAGGTATTATATATATATTTATGATTTCTTTTTATACCTGAGATCAGAATTATTAAAAATACTTGTATATGAGAATAGAAAGAAGGAAGTGAATTTCAAGTAAGATGTGGGACTTTTGTTTCTTTGGTGGACCAACAGGGACCTATCAGAAAGCCTTCCTCTCCTCTCACCAACAGGATCCTGGGTGATCTATCTCCTTACAGAGTATATAAGGTAAATTCATCATATCAGAAGTACAGAGTTTTAATATATCACTGGACACTGCACAAAACAATGGAGGAATAAAACCTGTGCAAGAAACCAACCAATATCTGATTTGGTTAAGACCCACTCCATGAGATGGAACCCATATATGACACAGCTTGGGTGATCAAGAACCAGAGGTTATACAGCTCAGGGATCTAGTGAAAAACTAAATATGACTGTTGTCCTAAAAGAACATAGAAATAAAATGACTCCTAAAGGCATTTTGCTAGACTATAGCCCAGTGCCTTGCTCAGCCATTAGCAGAGAAGTCTCCTCATGCAGCAGATGGAAACAAATACTGAGACTCACAGAGAGTTAGAGACCTTGGTACACTCAGCCCTAAACCGGTCCTCATCAAATCCATTCCTCAGAACCTAGGAAACCCTGAGAGAGGGGAAGCAGTAAGAGCCAAAGGAAATGGAGGACATCAAGGAGGCAAGGCCCTCTAAATCAACATGATCAAAGCACACACAAACTCAGAGACTGAGCAAACATGCATAGGGCTTAAGGAGTCTGCATCAGATGTGGTCCTGGAGCTGAAAAGATAAGTGGACATATGTCCCCATCAATAAATATAAAAGCTATCGGCAATTGATAAGCTCTTGCAAATGAAAATTTAGTCTTCTTTAAGGGAATATGACTGGGGAAATAAACTACTCTTTCCAGTAAGCTGCATGCCCAGCAGTAGATGCCAACATAACACGGACTCAGGAGCATGTTTTCAGGGTTTTTACCTCATATAGTGTATGTAAGTGTTGTTTGTTTTTGTTGTTGGTTTTTTATTTTTATTTTACCTTATTTATGTATTTTTTTCTTTTTAGCTTGTCGGTCCTGTGTGTGTATGTGTGTTTGAGTGTGTGTGTGTGTGTGTGTGTGTATTTGTGTGTAATATAATATAATATGATATGATATACAGTGGGCTCCAATTTAGTGTTTTTAAGGGATTCTGAGTGTGAACAATGGGTCTCTGCATCGATATCTGTTTCTTGTGCCTACTCTTGGGCTCTTTTCCTTCTTTGTATTTGTTTTGTCCCATTCTGATCCATTAGTTTTTTTGTATTGCATTTTATTATAGTCTCTTATACTTTATTATTATCCCTTAGAAGTCTCTTTGTTTTATAACAAAAGACAGAGAGCAGATGAATCTGGATGGAAGAGGAGGTGGGGAGGAACTGGGAAGAGTAGAGGGAGATGAAGCCAAAGTCAGAAGGTATTGTGTGAGGAAAATATTCTATTTTCAATAAAAGGAAAATATATAAATAAAAATAAAAGTTTTAGGCAAAAGTAAGCTTCTCTAGTGTACCAGTAAGATAGAAACTTGAAATATGTACCTTATTACCCGAAACACAATTTAAAAAGTCATAGATTAAAAGGTAGAATGTTCTCTAGTCTAGATAGCTTCAGTTAATAGACCACTTAATCAATTGATCAAAAAAATATTTGTGAATCCACAAAAGCACATTTTCTACTTTCTAATAAAAAGTTTGTCCTCAAAAAAGTTTTCACAGCTTCTCATTCTGACTCACAGTCCTGTCTAATTTCCGCTGGTCTAAATGAGATTTATTAATTTGGTACAAAGGAACTCCTGTAAGTTTTTAATAACAATTATCATTATCACTGATTAAAATTATGTTGTTTGGTCCAGATGGAGTTCTTTTCCTGTCAGCTAGAATGAGCTTGCTTTGTGTGGTTATAATATGTTTAGATTCAAACAGGCAGATGGTACAATGAAGGATATTGCATGCTCCTGGTATCAGTGGCTGTGCCTCGTCAAGCTTGCTTTAAATAAACTGTGTTCCAAAAGGGTCCCCATACATTGCAAAAGAAGACTAGACTTGAGAGCCTACACATTACTGAGCTTGGCATTGCTCTCTTCACTTCCAAAGATAGACTCTCAGGTGACTTAAGGTTCAGCCAGGGAAATTGTCAGTCAGGTCTAGTTTATCAGTGAGAGTGTCAATCTTAGTAGGTTCTCTTGGTCACTTAAATTAGAGAGGGAAAACTGCTAAGTAGTAAGAGTTCTCAGTTAAGGATTTAAAACCTGTGACTCAAGGGAAGACAGAAATATTTGGTATGATGATTTGGTTACATATGTTGAAATTGTAATTAATAGTAAAAAATGAACAAAGTTCTTAATAAGAAAATTTCTGTAGAAAGGTTTTAGTCTTTAATAGCTTTTCATGTACACTCAATTCTAAAGAGAAGCAAGAGGACCAATGAAGTTTTGAATAAAATTCAGAAACAAGTTTCAAGGGTAGTCCACTCACATGTTTCCTCCAGTTAATGTGCTTAGTACCAGTCCTGTGTGGGACAGCTATAACCCAAATAGAAGAAACCCATTGATATGAAACTTCCTTCTTGGGACTTAAAGGATGCCATTTAAAAATTCAGACAACAACAAAATTTAAACCTATGTATTACAACTGACATTAAGCTTTCTAAAACGTTACATTTTATTTTTTTTCAGTGCTTGATTTTACCTCTTAGTCTGAGGGTTATAATATGATTGAATAATATATTCTTGCTGTCATTGACTGTAGCTTCTTCCACTAAATTATTATTATCCCTTAATTTTTAATATTGGTTGCCATCATTTAGTTGTGAGCTTTGTAAATTATATTGAGTGGTATAGATCAAGGAAATATCATTGTCCAATAGTCAAAATGAAAAATATAACTACTTACTTCTGCCTAAAGAAATATTAACAAATACACTCATTTCTTTTTCATGTAAAATATGGGACAATTTCACATAGAAGGACATTGTGCTTTAGTTTTTCTTATAAGGAGCATTCAGGTTTTGGTAAATAAGTGAACATTTTTGGGGATATATCTCAATGCTTGCATGACTTAAAATCCCCATCCAGAAACAAGAGAATTTCATTAAAAAGGTACAAGAATGAAAAGCTATGGAGAACACAGCCTTTCTCCTTTTTCCTCTTCTGCAGGTGGAAGATGCCATAAGTCCTGTACCGGCCGATGCTGGGGGCCCACTGAAAATCACTGCCAGACCTGTAAGTGTTCGCAGTGAAAAGCAGAAGGTTTGGAATGCTTGATGGGTTAGTTATGAAATTCTCACAATTCTGATCAATTGCAATGCGAAATGAGCTTAATTTGTTTCCATCCAAATAAGTTACCTAAGTCTTTGCTTTCAAATGAAACAATACATAATTGCTTCTCATATTTCCTTGTAGTTTCTTGGCTAATGACCTACATAGCACATTTGTCATGACATTATCTCTGACTTTGAAGTCGGTATATCAGTAAAATTAGAAGATCCAAATACGATGAAAAATTATATTAATTTAATTTCAAGTAAACTGGTATTTCATTAAGTATTATTACTGTCATTTGTGAATTAAAAAAGAAAAACATAAGAAGTACCATGTGCCCGTTTTTTTTTTCTAGGCATGAGTATAACACATAGATGTAAACTACATGGGCAGTAGCTTTATAACAACAAACCTTACTCCATTCTATGCTTCCATTTAAGATTTTTTTATTTACAAGGGGGTGTATGTGCACATTAATGCAGACAGAAGTTTCTTGACACTTTAATTATTATGAGTATTTAACTGTCATGATTGCTAAGTTATTGGAACCAAACCATGCCAGTTATAAACGTGAGGACTGAGGAATGAACTCTGTCCTTAGAAGTGTTTGCTGTAAATACATGAGACCCTGGTTTGATACCCAGCACCACCGAATAGTGTGTATATATATATATATATATATGTATATATATATGCATATATATTTTTTCAGTATTCTAAATACTCAAAATATACTTTATATGTCACCAATATTATGGCTAAATAATTTATTTTAAATTTGAAAACAAAGCTTCCTATGCAAATATTAAAATTTTCCCCATTTGCATTAAGACCAAAGTTTTGAAAACGATGGGATGGTGAGAAAACAAAATGCAGATTTCGCTACTATAAAATCAATACAAAACACCAAACATTGGAGATTAAGATATGCAAATATTGCACAATTAGTTAATTTGTTATAATGCTAGATAAAATTTCAGAGATTTCACATTTGCCTCCATTCATGACATTATTTTAATAAAAAATTAACAAAAGAAAATTTGTAATGTAAGCCAGCAACAGAGGATACAGAAGGATTAATTCTCAAAGGTAATTTTAAATTGCTTTTTAAAGTTATATATGTTTTCATATTCAAAATTCAAGAAATGTGAAAACAATAACTTAAGATTGTCTTCTGACTTGTACCTGCTTTGCTCAGCCACCCATTGGCAGCATGCCCTTTGTTCTTCTGAAAGTAATTTCTGTAGACCAAAGATGCATGTTTATATCTTTGCACATTTTTCCCTCAAAGCCACTCATTATGCTATATGATGTGTTAGTTAGCTTTCTGTTACTGAAAGACACTCTTGAAACATGATAATCTTAAAAGGATAAAAGTTCTGTTTATATAGAAAAATCATGAAACACAAGGTGACTAGTTTCATCTACCTACTATTTCAGCATAGAAATAAAGGTGACTATAATACCAGCTTCTTAATAATCACCATTTCTACTCCACATTCTTTAAACTTTAAGCAACTACTTATGCACATCTAATTTATATACAAGTACAAACTTTAGTATGATATACTTTAGCACAGAATCTTTTAGATTATAAAATATTTCCTTTTTAAATGTACTTTAAGATAAATTACTTGAAAGTTAAGGACAATCATCTTTTTTTTCTATAAGCTAGAAAAGTAATTAAAGAGGTTGGAAACTTTATGTATATGATATTTGCATATCAGCCACTGTTTTGAGTCTGAAGACTGCTGTATCACGTGTACACCACATTTCAGAGGACATTCAAAGGCATGTTCACTCAGAAATCACTCATGTGTTGGAAATTACAGTTGTTCTGTTTTCCCCCATGGGTAAACAACTCCATGCTAATCATCAGTCACCACATCTATAAAATGGAAATGGTTATATTCACTTCCTGGTGGTTGATTTTTTTTTTCAGAATGAAATTCTATTCAATATATAAGTTGAAATGCTTAAGGAGTTTTGGACATAGACTAAGGCCCCAATAATTAGCATACATTAATTAAAGGAGTTATATTGGAAAAAGTTATTCATAAGTGAATGGAAGAATGTAGGAGATAAATTAACCTTGAGATGTCTACCTATTTCTGGCTTTGGGGCAGGGAGAGAAACAGGACTGGAGGAAATGCAGACTGCTTGTCCTTGATTTTACTCAAAGCCTTCTCCTCTTCCTCTGTGTTACTTAAGAGATAAATTGCTTATCCATATTTAAACAGGAGAGCAAATGTATTTTGGAGCTACTATGAAACTTAAGTATTGTAAGGTCTGAGTTTTTTAATTATAAAATTAATTTCACACTTCTGTGAAAATTAGACCTCACAGAAGATTCTATAGAGATGAGAATCCCCCAGAGCTTTCATGAAGGTGAATTATAGACAACCCAGAATTCTAGTCTCTTAAATTTTCAGCAGTTCCTCTATGAGTGAAGGTGAATTGTGGTGAGGTTCACTGTGTCATATAAGATTCTTTGAAACTTTTAAGAATATTCTACTTAAGTGGTTGGCCACAAAAAAATATGCATTTTCATATCTGCAAGATGTAGTCTCATAATAATTTACAAGTTACTTATTTCCATTTGGCTAAAATAAACTCCTTTTTGTGAGAGCTTCTCTATGGGTAATTAATTTTCTTTTATCAAAAATTCCTTATGCTTTTTGTGGATATATTTTTTCAGACTTACAAAGTATTGGCAAAGGAAGGACAACTATTCCAATGTCCTTCATCTCCATTAAGCAATCCCAAAGTTAGGGTTCTATTTTATTGCCCCACCTTTCATTGCCTTACTCTTTACCTCCCTCCTGGCTGTTGTGTTAGAGGCTGTATGTGTAATTAAAGGGTGGGAAGTCACAGTAAAAACCAAGAGCTCAGCTCTGGGAGGAGTTCACAGTGATGAACAAGTTGTAGGGTGAGATGAAAAAGGGGACTGATGAGAGTTGCCAATGTTTCAGAATAGAGACATGGGTAACAAAGATGTCAGCCCATCATGTTTTCCTTGAAGAAGAGGTTGCAGGGTTTCCATAACTGTGGGAAAGTTTTGTGCTATGTTAAAGTAGAGTCCATGAAATGAAAGTCCAGGGAGATTATATTGGCAGCTTAGTATGGACAAAGGTTATTTGTCCAGTGTTCAGGGTTTTAGAATTATATGAGTTTCTAGTATAACTTGTTTTGAAGACATGTTGAATAATTTAAGTGTATCCTCAAGTGCATTCACTGACTTTCAGATAATAAACTGGAGCATTCTCTATTACAATAGACCTTTTTTTTTAAAAAAACAAAATCTTCTTTGAAAATCGTAGCCATGCTAAGGGATTTTATAAATATTAATGTAAGTAAATGATGCTTGTACAAGCTTACTAAGTATTCTGCTCTGATTTACCCCTGAGTCTGATTTTCTGAACAATTCGGATTCATGCTCCTTAAATCCTTTTTGAATGCTTGAGCATGCTGACCCTAGACACCTAACAAGAGTATTTCTCGCCTCACTGCAAAGGGTCAAACAGAACTTAGGCTGGAGTACTGAGAGATGCCTTACATGTGTGGAAGCAACTCCAACTTGAAAGTACTTTTAAGCTCAGTTAAATCGTGCCTGCCTTGCTCCACAGCACAGCTTAAGTAAATTGATTCAGTGGATTAATGTAGTCATGTCAGGGGAGATGAACTTATCTTCTATGTGAAGGCTGAAGCTTATGGAAGTATTATTTAGTAAGCTTACGGGTAAGAATGACAACTCTCTCTGTTCACGAGAACTGAGGTCTGACTTGTATAGGTGTGGGTGAGAAGGAGACTCAGCTTTAAGAAATAAATAATAATGATTAAAGGAACAAAGCTATCTCTGTCCCTGCAAGATATATGAAGTGTACTTATCACATTTAAACTAGACACTGCATGTCCTTTTTCATCGCTAGTCACAGTATCAGGGCAGCTTTCTCTACTCTCCTATCATCAGGAGGGGTGGCACTTTCATTATACACTTCTTTTTTGTCCTCCCAGACCCAATGGCAGCTTGTTTAGTCACTGCATTTTGAGTGAGGGAAGAGATAAAAGATGCACAGAGTAAAATATTGCAGTTTTATTTTTCCCAAACTTTGCATACATTTTGCATGAGAGTAGTCATAATTGTCTTCATTTGCAGATTTTATAATTAGAATTTTCTAAGGTGATAACCTTCGATACTAAATTTTCCATTTTCTAAGTTGTTTTTCAAATATCATTTCTTACCTAGAAACAAATAGAAAATATGGTATGCTTAACAATAGAAAGAAAAGGTGTTTGTCTCCTGAATTTAAATATTGTACTATGAAAAGTGAAGAGACAATTCATGTTCCAGCTGCGGGACTACACAGACATGATACATTTTCCCATTTGTCATTAAATTAGTAGTAATTTTAATAAAAGGAACATTTATCTGTGGAAGTTTCCACTTACATTTTTAAATAAAGTAGTCAATATGTTATTAAAATTGTGAATGGGATACTTAATATATTCATAAAATAAAATATTATTTTAAACAACATTTTATGTTATTTATTGTTTCAATAGAAAGAGTAGGGGAAAATGAGAGGGGGGAAGGAGAACATAAGGCATTAGGAAGGTCAAGTTGGGGGAAGAAGAGAAAAGGAGAACAAGGAAAGAGATACCTTAATAGAGACATTATGGGTTGAAAGAGAAATCGGGCACTAGGGAATTCTCCAGGGATCCACAAGGATGAAACTAACTAAGAATCTAAACAATAGTGGAGAGACTACCTTAAATGACCTTCCCCTATAATGAGATTGATGACTACTTTAATGCCATCATAGAGCCTTCATCCAGTAGCTGGTGGAAGCAGAATGAGAGATTCACAGCTAAACACTGATCAGAACAGGAATCTAGTTTTAGAGAGGGAAGAGTGATGAGCAAAGGGGTCAAGACTGTGCTAGGAAAACCCAAAGAAATAA